GAAGCTTGGATGATTATCAAGGCATGGTAAACATCATTCAGGTTCAAGAGAAGCTTAGTTGAGGTCATTTGCACGGAATTACACAATTTGCATCAAAATCGCACAATTCTACCGCAATTTGTAGCAAACTGATATTTCGTGTTATTTTAGGTTATTTTTAGTGATTTTCACGTTTTTTGTATTATTTTTGGGCTGAACATTCGCTTATTTGAAGCCTAATTCATGGTTATTAGGTTTAGGACTTAGGGTGTTAGTTTCCTATTCTGATTAGGATTTGTTTTCTCTATTTAAAAGGCTTGTGACCCTAATAGGGAGGGGGCTATTGAATCTGAGATTTTGAGACTTTTCTCTTTGGTTCGTTTAGAACTTTACAGAACTTATCAAGATTATTCTTGTGGCGTTCTAACCTGACTTATCATTCTCGTTCTTAATCGTTTGAGGGTGTGGCGTCAACCGACTTTATACCTTTGGTTCTTGTTGCGTCATAGACAATGGGTCAAGGTTTTTACCTTTGGTTCTTGTTGCGACATAAACAACGGGTCAAGGTCCTATTATAAATCTGATTTAGCTTTCCTGGAGTTTAGAAATTCCTTGTCGTGCTGTGGGTCTCATTGTTCTCTCTGGGGTTCTCATCACTGTAAGTTTATTTTTTTATTTAATTCAAAAATTAATTTTGTAGATACATGAATCTGAAAGGATTACTTCCATTATTGCATGGTTTATAATACAAATGTGGAAATACAAAGTTTAACTTAGAGGATTGTCCAAATGATGAGGAATGAAAATTTGTTTTCCCCAAAAGGTGGCCCCATCATCCTCTCAGGTAAGGGATTGTTGGTATTTGGAATTTTTAGAGTTGTAATAGGATCTATTTGGCTAAACTTTTAGTCATAACTTTGATTTTTTAAAGTGGAAGATCTCAAAGGATGAATTAGAGACTAATAGCCATAGATGCTTTTCTCATTTCTATAGTTTGAGAATGAGTATGGGCCAAAGAGTAAATCACATTCTGGTCATGTATACTTTATTTGAGCAACAAAAATGGTTGTGGAACTAGATACTTGAGTCTTGTGGATGATGTGCAGGGAATATGATGTCATATACTGTAATATCCCAAAATTTTCTAAGACCTTAGAATTTAAGTTAGGGACTTTTGTGGGAGAAACTATCTTCTATAAGGCCTAATGGTCACAAATTTCAAACTTAAGGGGGTGGAGTTTTTTTTTTAAAAAAAGGGGGGTGCGGGTTTCAAGAGTATAAGCTCCCCAATTCCCCCATTTTTCTTCTTGTTTGGAAACCTTAGCTCATCCCCCACCATCCTCCATCCTTCACCAACTCCGATCACCAATTCCACTCCAAACCTTCTCACCCACATCTCATAAGTCCCCTAAGTAGCAGCTCATTGTTCCCCACTCCACCGAAGTGGCGTGTTGCCTTCAACAGCCTTGGGTTTCTCTTTTCGACATCAGATGCTAGCCCTTCTCAAGTTTTGGCTATCTCTGCCTTCTGGGCTTCCATTTTAGGAGGAACTGTTTCTCTCTCTCTCAATTTTCTGGTAAGATGTGAGCATGAAACCAATCTTGTTCTTTATCTAATTTTGGTAGATTTAGTTGAATATTGACCATTTTAGATTTTGGGAAAATGCATAGGATTTATGGGTATTCCATTTTTTATCTTTTTGAAAAATTGTGACACTGTTTGTCTAGTGTTTAGCTGTTGTTCTACTTAGATTCCCCTGCTATTTTTGCCATGAAATTTACTGTTCACGCAAAAAAATTATGTTGTTTTTGCTGTTGCATTTTTTGTAACCTATTTTGCTGCTGCATTTTTTGTAACCTATTTTGCTGCTGCATTTTTTGTAACCTATTTTGCTGCTGCATTTTTTGTAACCTATTTTGCTGCTGCATTTTCTGTAACCTATTTTGCTGCTACATTTTCTGCAACCTATTTTTTCTACTGTACTTTTCTGCAACCATGTTTTTCTGCTATATTTTTCTACAATCTATTTTGCTGCATTTTCTGTAACCTATTTTGCTGCTGCATTTTGCTACATTTCCCCAACTATTTTCTACATTGTTTTTAAACCAAAAAATTATGTATTTTCCCCAGAAAATTTTTCATTTTACTGCATTTTTCCTTGCTATTTTCAGCATTGTTTTTCCCCATAATTTTTCTACCATTTGCCAAGCTTTGCTGCTCCTTATCGGAAATGTTTGGTAGGTCGACTGTCATCTTTGGAAATTTATATATGACTATGCATGTGAGTTATATATATATATACTAGTAAGGTTTTGGTGGGTAGAATGGCAAGAGGAGATAGGGAGAAATTGTTCCTTTGGGATATAACTTGGTGCTAGAATTAAAGATCAATTTTAGTTGAATGAGGCATGTTGTGACCTTGTTGCTCTTGATTATGAAATAGGTTCTAAGTCACCACCTTCTCCTTGAAACCTTGAATACTTGCTGTTGTAAGCCTACAAGAAGAGGTAAGTAAAAGTATGGTAATGCCTTTGAATTTGAGGTAAGGTTTTTGAAAGCATATTTCTAATGGTTTTTTGAAATGGTGGCGTGACTAAACCCATTTTACACAACCACAAGCATGATTGGTTTGAAATGAAATTATTATCATTTTCATTGAGTTGAGCATGCCTTCTTGGAGTTTACTTGACAACCCAGATGATCTGGAAATTATTTGTAAATTATGATTTTCCTGTTAAATCCTGCCTGGTTTTGTCTCCAATATGGTCATGTTTTACCATGTCCGCTAGTGGGAGGTTTATAAACGCTAGCACATGTTGACATGTATTTTTAGGAACCAGTTCAACCTGTATTCCTGCCAGTGGGATAATACACTGGTTACTACTGTGTCCGCCAGTGGGAGGTTTATAAACGCTGGCCATGACCTATAGAGGAGACATTTATTTCATTCTTGTACTTGCACTGGTTTTTTCTTGATACTTGATTACACTTATTGGCATGCTATAACTTTAATTAAGGGCAATCCATATTTTTACTTACTAAGTTATCTCATAGTTTTTCCTTGTCCACTATTTCAAGTACTAAACCAAAGACGTGGGAAAACTGAGGGGAGTGACGAGCTAGAAAGCTAGCCATTTATGTTTCAAACTTAGATTATCTTGGAGTTAGATTAGCCACATATATTTGGACTTAGCTTATTTGTAATTAGGTTTGTAGAATAAATTTTATTTTCAGATTTTTGCAAAATTGTTCCATGGATTGTAGTTATGAATTTAATAAGTTCAGAGCCTTGTGCATTTGTGGGATCCTCTCACAAGTGTACGGCGTTTGTTTCGCCCTTGGATTTGGGTTCTGAGGCATGACATATGCTTTAAAATACCGTATTTGCTGTACAATCTTTCCTATTCATTCTTCTTGATAGAGTTGTCTTCATTTATCATTTACTTTAAACTAAATTATCTTTTGCATTTATTGAATTCTAATGTTGTCTCAAGCAAAGATGAAGTGCTTAAGCTGAAGGATTAATTAGCAATATACTATAAGTGTAAGAGATGATGCTTTTGATTTTCTCATTTAAAATAGCGATAAGAAGTTTACCTAAGCTTTTAAAAGATAGGGAGATACCCATAGCTTAGCATGTTAGCTTTTTTTGGATTAGGTTAATTGGCTTACTTGATTTGAACATTTCATGAAGCAGTAGTTTAGCTTTTACTCTGTCCACTTACCTCCAAGAAGTCTATAATAAAATATGTTGTGTTTTAGAAGAACCACATATGTGGGAATGCCCTACATATGTTACACAAAAAAATGTAATTGGCTACAAAGTATATCTAAAGATCTAACACAAATTTTTAATTGGATTTAATTCCAACAATGCACATGTGAAGCATTGTATATAAGTTTAATAAATAAATTGATATAACATAAGGCATAATTATATAGGGTGTGTGGATGATGTTAATTTGTTATTAAAATAACTAATAATATATATATATATAGATATTAGATGCTAATAGTGATTGACAAGAAACAATGATTAAAAAGAAGATAAGGGGAGAGATGTAGAGAATGGGAGAGGAAATACATATTACTTAAAAAGTAATTATGAAATTTTGTTATTAACCCTTAGTTTCTATATAAAGTATAACATCAAATTTTTCTATTACCAATAAGGAGCTTCAAGAGGGGTGTATCACCCAAAGTAGTTAGGACTTTTAAGATGACCTAAATAGATCCAAATGAAGACAAAAGGTAACAATTTCATTATTAATGTATTGTTACTCTTTCTACCAAAATATCATTGTTATATTAGGTGATCTCCATCTCTATAAATCATATAGATCTTTGGTTGAAAAAAATTGTCATAAATTTTCCTGTTTCTGTCTCTATATTAATCTCTCAAAGTCATTCTACAAGGATATCCTTTTAAGTTCAATCATAGGTAACTATATTAATGCACTAAATAAAGGAACACTAGGAAGGAATATTCAAAAATCTAGAAAACAGCTTGATGAGATGGAAGTTTTTATATTATTATCTTTAATTCTTTTCATCAGTACAAATGCTCTGTTGGGCATTTAACTTGGGGATGAAACCAATTTGGCTATTGTAATTGGATATAATTGTCTTAACTTATGAATTTTGTTTGAGGTTAAGAGGGTCCAACAACTTTTTGTCAACCTTTTGTATGAGAAGATTTTGAAAGATTAAGGGTTTGAGCAAAAAAAACATGTCATGTTGAAGAAGCTCGAACAACATGTCATATTGAAGAAGCTTAGAGAGGCAATGGTAAAAAAGCTTAGGCATTGAAGCCACTTGCCAATAAATAAGAGGCAAAAGCCTCTTATCCAGAAGATGGAATATGTGGTTAAACTTGAGGGAAAATGATGTTTATACAATTGTCGGTAAAGGCAAGGTAATTCTATTGTTTCCAATCTACTTGCTTTCTTATCTTATAAATGTCTTAAGGCTTTTATAAGTATTTATAAAAGTAAATCTTTTATTTTTAAATTGGGGTAGTGGAATAGTTTCTTAAGTAAATTTTTTATTTATTTAGTATTTTTTTTTTTTGTTGAGGGTTACCATGGTGATGCATTAGTAACTTTCTTTTGCTGAGATGTTGATGAGGAAGCGAAGAATTTGGTTAAAGCTCATACCATATATAATTGTATCTTTATAAAGTACATTTGAAGCCTCTTATTCATGCAAAAGTCTTAGATTTAAAATAAACAATATGTTAAAAAAAGGATGACACACTAAGCTGTTAAACCTCTGAATCTTGCTATAGCTTAGTATTTGTATTAACTTACTAGCCAATTAATAAGAAAATATTAATTAGAATAACTAAGAATATTTGTCTAAATATATTTATCAGTGTCTTAGAGTTTTAATATGCTACTCTTTACTATATACATATACACATGCACAATACCTATTAAAGGTGCTTCCAATAATAACCCAGACCCCTTAGTCCTTGTCACGCCCCAAAACCCGAATTCGAGACGCGACAGACGCCGTGCACTCGTGAGACGGATCCCACAAGCGCACAAGGCTCAAAACTTATCCAATTCACATCTGACAATCCTATAACTCAGATCGGATATTTCAAAATTTCTTTTCTATGTCCACATGACTTAACCTCAAAATCTCCATATCAAATCTCTTATAAACTAACAATCCACTAAATGAATTTAAAATCTCCAATTAAAATCTCACTTACAAGATCATCATTTATATCTAAAGTCCATATTCAATTTACACGATGGCTAGCCTTCTAACTCGTCACTCCCCTCGGTTTTCCCGTCCTCGGTATCGCTTCCTGAAATGGTGGACAAGGAAAACTATGAGATAACTCAGTAAGTAAATATGGATAGCCCTTGGGTAAAACTTTTAAGCATGCCAGATAAACCATGTAAGTATAACAGAACTTTCATTGATAAACCATTAATGCGGAAATCAAATTCGGTTCAATAGCAAAACGTTCAATGACAAAACCGTCAATGCAAAATCAGATTCAGTTCAATAACAAAACGTTTCATGACAAACCGTTAATTGAACTCATAGCATGCCAACAAGTGTAATCACGAAAACAGATACAATACGGGCATGAAATAGACGTCTCCTCTATTGGTCACGGCCAGTGTTTAAACCTCCCACTGGCAGGCTACAGGAATTACTAGTGTTTAACCCCCACTAGTAGGGTTACAGGAACGAACCGGTTCTATCAATAACATATCGACATGTGCCGACATGTGCTAGC